CACTGGCATTTTAAAAAACAAAGAACCAGAAAGCAAACCCCCTCCAAAGGCCAAATATAGTGAGGGTACATGCCAAGTGCTAGTCACTCCAAGTGCTAGTCTCAAACCCTGAGCAGGAATAGCTGCAGAAGCAAGGAAGCCATTAAGGGGAAAGATGCAAAATGAGTTACAAGATCAAAGGAACAATTTTCTGGTCGTTGAGACATTTAGGCCATGGCAAAGCCATGCTGGGATCACCTAACAAAGACAAGTGCTTTGGCAACTGGTCTTTGATTTACCTGCTGCCCACAAAGCCTGCTGCAGAATAGCCAGCAGGGAGACCCCCTGTTGCCAGGCAGGAAAGGTAAAAGAGCAGAAGCATCTTGATTGCATCACAAATTCAAATTTTTGCATTCAAAGTCTTCTCAACTTAACATCTGCTCATGAATACGAAAGAGTGGCAGCCTGTTATGGAGGTCACCTGGCAATGCAGGCAGACCAGCTTGAAGCAGGGCAGCCAGACATACGGTGGCTTATTAAGAGCCAAGACATCTTGGTAAGGTAATGAGTAGGAGACACAGAGTCCCAGGGAAGAACCATCCTTGCCCTTGGCTGAGATGCCCCTAAACTTAAGGCTGGGCTTCAGAAAACAGTCTAAAAGACCACTATGAGAACAGCACCGCCATTCATTTATTTCTGGGATAGAGAGGACACACAACTGTGCCTGTCCATACAATGTCCTAGCCGTGTGTTGGAACCTGGTCCGGAGTTTCATAGGGAGTTTCATATCATATTCCATTTGACCTGGGTTGTAGCAGTGTCTGTCCCACAGTAGATGCTCAACAAATGCTTGAAGAAGTGAACTGAATTGTTGAAACTCTCTCTCCCACTAATGGTTGACACTCTACTAGACAGGACTAGAACAGTCTTCATGCAATGGGATGTTTCATGGTTAGTCAAAACCAAGTGTAAAGAGTCAGCCAGGCCACCTCTAACGTGTGGTAAGTCCACTGAATTATGAATCCACTTTAGAAGATGCTTCTGAAACACTTGAAGGGCCTTATAGTTTCTAACTTGTATATATGGCAAACCTATCCCTTTGTTCTCAAGCCTTCATCAGCTGACTAACCTAAAAGACATGAAAGAGTTCTGATTTTTAAGGAGAATTTTCTTAATAATATTTGTTCAGATAGAGAAATGTCACTCCAAGTAGTAAGTCCTTTAGAAAGCCACCGACAGCCAAAGAGGTCTGCAGAACTGAAGAGTTTTAGGCATTAGAGGACAATGACAATTTATTGACAAAATAGACAGACCCTTCCACCATTCACCTCTGAAGGAAAATAAAAGACATGGCTATCTCAATGTTTGGCCATGCGTTTAAACTCTGGAATTCTTATGAAAAAGGAAGCAAAAAGCTTCCCAGAAATTTTTTGCTCCAAAGAGCCTTTCTTCTGTGGATTTCTTGGGTTAGCCCTGAGCTGTGTCAGAATTTCATCACCACCTGGGACTACAATGTCCAGAGTTTCACTGCACATTCTTAGGCAGTTTTGGGGTGGGACTGGGTCAAAGGCAATGATGCCACTGGCACCAATCCTGGGAATTTGACTAAACCCAGGCATGGGGGCCTGACCCACCTTCTCACTTTAGGGGAAGCTTGGATAAATAAGGCTTAACCCACAAAGTCATCAGACCTGGCTCGGATATAGATAGTGGCAGTTACACTAAGAAAGGAAAGGCACTCCTCTGCCTGGAAATGCTCCCCACCAGTTCTTCGCCTGGCTGGACCCATCTTACCATCTCTGCTTAAATACCACCCCCCTTAGGAAGGCTATCCCTGGCCAAGCATGCTAACGTGACTCTCCTCCTCCCAACACATCACATTGCTTTTTAAATTTTTATTTTATTTTCTGTCTTTGCATTTGTCTTCTTTAATGACTTGTTTACATGTTTATTTCCCCACAACCACCACCATCACCACTGCCTACCACACTAGAGAAAGGTCCATGAGAAGTAGGCCCTGGTCTCTCTTGTTTGTTATTGTATTTCCAGTCTCTGAAACATACGTGGCATATAGTAGGTGCTCAATAAATGTGTCAACCAGAAACTCAAAGGCTAAGCATGATTTAGTATTAGAGAGAAAGGTGCTAGATCTTTTTCTAGCTTCTTCTCCCTATATCAACCAATTGTAAGACATGGTCTGGCTACCAGTCTATGTATTGGGGAGCCCTGGTAATTGTTGAGGTAGACCAACATCACTCTAGGAGCAAGTGATGCAATCTCTTTTAATTAGAAGATACTGACACAACAGATATAAATCTGGATGAAGATATTTTGGATGATTGAATGTAAGATTTCCCATTTACCTGACTAAACAGATCGTTACCATGGACAGGTTGAAAAGAAAAAAAAAAAAAAGCCTGAGTTAAGGCTTGGAAAAAAATTTCCTATTTTCCAAAGGAAAAAAGAGTTGGGAATTTCATACTATAAATCACTCAGGCAGAAAACTACAAATTTGCCCATTTCATTTTGGTGAGAACAAAGCAGTTGTTTGCACATTCTTCTGGGGCACCTGCTCTGGCCTGCCCAGTGTAAACACCTTAGCCTAAAAGTGTAAACGGGCTAAGCACAGCCTTCTAAACAATGAAAAGGGGTAAGTGCCATCCTCCACAACTGGTAGGTAGGTTTTTTGGCTAATCTAGGAAATCCAATAATAATTGTAAATGGGTAAGTTTAGAAAAGCTTTGTGCCTTGTAAACACTTCTGTGAACTATGAAGGCAAGGCATTAAGGCAAAACACAACAAAGTAATAAATAATCATTATTCTTCCATTCACTGGTCTATTTATTAGAATGACAATGGTACAATATACTTCCCAACAGTCTTATTTGGCTTTCAAGCTCCTTGAATTGTGTTTAAAATTCTTTTAGGCTAGACCAAGAGCAACAAAAATGAAAAATGCCACACACAAAAAAAATTATTAGGGATGAAAATCTCCAAGATGACGCAACCATGCTTGAGTTCAGAACAAAAGGATCGACATTTTATAAAGAAGAAATACACTGTTGAATCTATCAGGCATTCATTTTTATGGTAAAACAATTCCATTGCATCATTTAATCTTGTGATTAAGATTCAAATGGGTTCAAAATGATTAATTTGTACTGGCCTATCAAAATAGAAGACAAGGTAGTAATCTTTCGGAATAGCAATAGTGTCTTAATTACAAATTCCTGACTCAGTATTTGCTCAAGAGCAAATGACAATTAGCTTGATCCTACTGCAACTGTTAAAGCTAATACCACTGAAATAAACAGGCAACACTGAATCAGGTTTCTGACATTTCCCTTCAGTTTACGATCTTCTGACTGATGCTGTATTCAAAATGTACTTAGTCATTTTAAGGCACAGGCAAGAAGGAAAATGGCTCCCGAATAGCCAAAAAAAAAAAAAAAAGGTGTTGCAGGAAGGATATTCATGGATACCCACCCAAAGAACGAAATCACAATGAGATGAATCATGTTCTAATACAATTGAGCCAGAGAAAAACTCCAAGCAAAATATTTAAGTTGGCCTCCAAACAACACAACAACACAACAAACCCTTAGCCCGTAAGAGGTTTGATTTTACAGTGCTTTGGAATACTAGACACATTGCTAGAATACAGCAACTATTTACACAAATGGTTCTGAATCTCAAGGTTCTTCACATCGGAGCAAACCTCAGGGAGGTTTGTGGTTTGTCAGCATCTTTCTACTCACACACCTACAAAGACGTTTCCACAAAGGCTCAAAGTGCACTTATCATTGGGGGGGTGGGTTTGGGTTTGGGTCTTTCTCTACAGAGAGCTCTGAGGTTACCAATGGAGGGATCAGGGAAAATAAGAACATAAGCATTTTCTGATTCTCAGAATTTCTGAGATACCTTTTGTTTCAGTGGCGCTGGTGAACTCGTGATAATGAAACTACACCTTTGTACACAAACCTTGACCAGCATCTTGGAGCACATTACAAAGAAAACCTTAATTTTGAAAGTATTGAACACAAAGGAGGGGAATAAAAAAAAAAGCTCTCACTGTGCAAGCTTTCTCTATATGTGTAGAAATATGGCTCAGTTTTTAAACCTTGAAGACCGCATTAAAAAATGCTTAAAACTAGTTCAGACTGAGGGGGAAAAAACTGTAAATGTTTCATTAAACATTTGTTTCTTTTTTTAAGACAATTTTTTGCATATCTGTATTGCATTTTTAAATGAGGTTTGGTTACCAAGGAAACAGGTTCTGGCCCAGTGTTAATCTGAAACTAAAATATATTTGAGACGTTAACCTCAAAGGAAAGAGCCCATGAAATTGTTTTGAAAAGTGTCAGAATTTGGTACTTACAGAACCACAGCTGTATGGTCTGCAGTGAACCATCCTGGGGACTCTGTTTCATTCAGTGAAGCTCTTTTTCTTCTAACAGGGCCATCCACATTTAATATTTCCCCCTTTAAAAATTATAACTCCTCATCTCCCCAAGTAATAGATATATAAATAGTGTATTTATTCTTACATATTCTCTAAAATTAATTTGGAAGCAGATAAGTTTTTATTTTCATCTTTCATATAGCACGTTTAAAGACCGCTTCTTAAAATTTAAATATTTTAAATGTTTCATATTGAGCTTGTTTGCGCTCTTTGAAATTATCTCCAGAAACCCATTTATTTTTAGTTTCAAGCTAAAATGGAGCTGAATCAACAGACTTTTCAAAAAATTCTTTTGTTGTCTAATGGCGCCACACCTATCATATATATGATTTTTTAAAAAGGAAATCATCTCACTTTTATAGCAGAATCATTTTATAAGTTTATGAAAGCTCTATATATTTCTATAGTATCTGGATAAAAAAGACTATCCAATTTAATAACCCCCCCACAAAAAATTAGAACTGTCTTATTCAATTTTTGTTTTATAAGTCATATTTTAATCCATCTACTATCTTGCTGCATGGCTCAAATTCTAAAAAACATGCAAATTTCAACCTACCTGTATGTATCACTTAGTGCAGTGCTAGCATGACAAGACACTCAGCCATTTTTATGTAAAGCGATGGAGACCAACTGATTTCTCCGTCTTCTTGCTCACAAGTTTTAGATGCAATTGTCACACACACACAAAATCATACGCAGAACAGCTTGAATGTACTGTGATCACGAGAACTGAATTTATCAACAGGAAAACAGGATTGAAAAAAGAAGTTTCTCATCCAAGGTTTCTCTGAGACTGCAACCAAAGAGGTGGTGTGTTGAATTTTTTTTCCCTTCCTCCTCTGAGAGTTCAAAGCCCGGAGCTGACCACTGCAAAGGCCACTGTCACATTTGCTGAAAATCAAACCACTGATACCAGCACTGAAAATACAAATTTGAGAACCAAGTTGTTTGCACACACCATGGAGCGCATCAGAGTTAAAAATAGATTCCACCTTGCCTCCTACCTGCATAATAAATATGTAAGTTTCAAGTGTTTAATTTGATATTCACATTAATTAACAATACAACATACATTATTTAAAAGACAGCAAATGCAAGAAGAAAGGGGAGACACCATCTGGTAGCAGAGTTTTGTTGTTGTTTTTGTTTATAGGGTGTGTTTTTTCTTTTTGGCTTTGTTAAAAAAAAAAAAAAGTAAAATCCTATTTTGAATGTGATGAAAAGCAAACATCCAGAAGCAAATGAATCGGAACTGAAAGGTGATATTGAAATATCTAAGGCTGTAATGAGGCAAAAACAAGTCTTCACCACCAGATGATAGGGCATACAGAGCATTTACATACTCACATCTGAAATACTAGGCAACGTGTAATGAATTCTACACACAGCATGCACACACAGCACAAGCACGGCTAATCCTGCCTGCCATCTTAGGCTCGCAGGAGCAAGATACGCACTGCATGCAGCACACAAGCACTGGGGAAGGAGGAGGCAAGGGACAGCTCACCTTAAATGCAGTATCTGATTAATGTTGTAAGTGACATTGCATATCAGCCTCAGAGTCTTGGTTCAACTGGGTAGGAGGGAACAAAGAAAAATGTCATCAACTGGTGATGCAAGATGAGCCCAATCACTAAACACTGTTTAGCAAAGTCCAAATTCTGCAACCAGACAGTCCAAGGCGTTTCATACACTTAAGCAGAGCTGCTGCACAATGCACGTGTCCTTCTGCTTCTGAGAATCCAACAATCCTTTTGCTAAGGAAGAAAATCAGCTGGAATGAATACTGTCATGTCTTCTTGAAGAAAGCTTTCAATACAGTATGTATCTGGTTTGGGAGGCATTTTCTAGACTGTTAATTTCGTAGAATCGCTAGCAACAACAACAAAACAAAACTGCTAAGCTATTGCAAAGTAAAAAACGGTATTATAAAAGGTTTAGCATTTCTATATTGTTTTTCAAAATCCTAAATGGTGCCAGCAGGCTTGTAGAAGAATGCATGATCAGCTGTCTGTATCCGTGCTATAACCTCTAACCACAAGCGTGTAAATGTATCCTGCTAAATGTGTCTGCAGTACAGAGCAGGCAGATACCTCCTCAGCTGGGGTTGTATTAAAATGTGAATGAATTTGCTTAAACTTAGAAGCAGAATAAAACCAGGACAGAAAAATACATTGATGCTGAGTTCCTTTGGATGTACAGCTTACCATCGTGAATGATACAAGCTGTCCTTAGGACACTGACCTAAATAATGGTGACTCGCAGCAGCGTACATACTCTACTTGCTCAGAACGTAGGACGTGCAAAATGATTTTTCTCCTCCCTGCCCTCCCAAAAGCTAAATTGTAAAGTAACGAGCCATTAACAGGAACCCAAAAAGAGAGAGAGAGAGAGAGAGAGAGAACATACAGTATAAGAGAAGAAATGGTGTTGTGCTGAAATGCACTGTTTCTTTGTTTTACTTTGAGGCTTATCTTAGCTACGCTTGCATGATGACACTGACATCATGGAGGTCAGGGCTGACACTGGGGTGCTATCCATTTTATGAGTGAAATGTTTTCTGAAAATTAAATCTCATCTACTCAAACACCAAATTTCATGTCTTCCTCAGTACCACTTCCCTACCCCCGCTGCTCAAGATTGATGGGATCTTGTTTGGCTGTATGTAATAAATTGGAGTCACCTTCTGTAGAGACTCCAATACATAATTGTAGGAATTAATTTTTAAACAAAAAAAAAAACCTTCAAGAATTCTTATGCATCCCCTTTCAAGCCTTCCTATCCCCCCCCCAACACACACACACAACTGAAGCTCAAATTGCAATGAAATTTTTAACATGTGGAACAAAAAAAAAAATGTGGAAAGAGCAGTTTATTCAGGATTTTGAAAAAATGCCTAATAAGCAAATACTGTTTTGCTACAAAACCAGTGTCACCATGTCCCCAAAGAGAGAAAAACAGCATAGCTTGCTAGAAAAATTTCCTCTCGATCCTGCCGGCAGGTAAAAAACAGAAAAGCATTTCATTTACCATGCTGTATAAAACAAGAAGTCTTTTTATTTTTAAGGAAATAGAAGAGATTCTTTTCCACTCCTTCTTCAGCTACAAAGAAACCATACCCACCCCCACCCTTAGATCCTGGACATAAGCCAACATTTTTATAAAATGCTATGAGACTGATTTTGAATACATAATATTTACATTTTTCTTCCTCATATCTCTCGAAACGTCTTTCATTGCCTATTGCATCACTGAATATGCTAATGTTAGTTCATGTTAACACGTGCAAAAATAAATTAATATTTTCTGGGGTTGCTAGTTTTCCAGCGCCTCTATTTTCTGTAAGGGCTGGCTAAAAATGATCAGGTTAGCAAAATAGTCACATTCCCCAGGATTTTTTTAAAGGAGAAAGTGTATTCAAACATCTTAACTTAGGTACTAGGTTTCACAACCGGATCTTTTGTTTCTAGCTTTCAGTCTATCTCCTTCCACAGAACCCAAGTGATTTTTAGCTCGATGTGTGGAAAGCACCCAGCCCAGCTCTATCTACCCCACGCGCTTTAAAGTCTCTGAGTTGGGTTGTCCAGATGGTCAGCCATACCTGAGTCACACCGGGTCCTCTCTTTGGAGCACATCTGTTCCCCACAACTATTCCAGAAATAAACGTGGCTCTAACGGAAACAGTTGCTCCTGATCCAACACCAATGGTGGAACCATCTTCCCCACCCCCACATCATTGCTCTATAAGCTCTGGTTAGCATTGACAGTGACAGAAAATTAGAATGGAGTGTCCTTAGGCTAATTCTTCCTTTGCCATGGGGGTCGAGAATTACAGAGAATATCATGCTGAGTTACAAGGTACCAATTTAAAATAAAGTCATCTATAAAGCCAGGTCCTTACAGTGGGATTGGAGGAGGTTGAAGCAAACACGTTGGTATTTGATGCTATTAGCGTCTGTTCAGATATTCCCCATTAATAACATCTGAAAGCTAGATATTAACATTAAAACACGCACAAATTACTATCATGTAGGCTAAATAGACACTATATGGAATCAACACTAACCGCACAGAACGAAGTCGATGCCTCCTCTGCTTGGGATAATAAATGACAGTGACAAGGACAGTAATGCATATCAGGCTTCCATGAGATGAGTGAATAGTGTTATGCCCCCTTCACAGGACCAGGGTTGTGAATGTGGTCAGGTCCCCTATTGGTACTTGTAAGCCAAGTGCCAGGGTGAGCAGTTTCCAAACCTCTTTGTGAGGGTTCTCTGTCCACCCTCTGTCAAAACGAACCTAAAAGTCATATATTGGCTATTTTATGATGTTCCAAAACACTCAATGAGCAAATGTGGCCTGTTTGCCAAATCTGCTTGTGTTACACAAATTTGAACTGTAGTTGAAAGCATTCAGATGGATGAGCTTGTTTAGGTAGACATTCTCTGCCTAGCAAATTCTGTTTTATACTTTTAAACAACCATGCTCATGCTTGAATGACTTAAGCTTTGTCATGATTACAAGTGGCAAGGGTGTGCATTCACTTATGATTTTTAAAAATTCATGCTCTTCACCAACCTCCTCAGGGCACACGCACAAACATTAATTTAAAAGATGAGTCCCTTTTCCACGATGAAGATGTTAACCTGTTCTTGCCACTTTGAGGAGTCAAGCACCAGGAACCCAAAATAATCTGGCAGGAGCAGTCTGGAGAAGGACAGAGCGAGCCGTGAGGCGAGAGTCTTTCAGTCTGATTAAGGCTCTTACTTGTTCACAGTCTCATTGTTCTGCAGTTTGAGCTCATTTTATTTTCAGTCCTGTGGGTTACAGTTAAATTGCATGGCTTACGCAAAGAACGTAATTCAAGTTTGAGCAAAGCTCGACTCTCTGTGTTTAAAGAAACGTAAAGTCAGGGCACTGAGTCCCAGAGGAATTCTTGGTTGATAAACATTTGGATTGGTTTGCACATGACTTTACTCCATTCACTGCATTAGAAATTACAGCTGGTTTCTGTTTACACCTAATATGGATATTCAACATTTGTGGATAAGTTTGTTATCAGGTTAGGCTGTTCTGATCTAAATTTTAAAAAATAAGATGTTTACCAAGTAATATTCTTGTATAAATTTATTTTAAAAAGTGTACAAAAATTTTTATGAGGTTGGTTATTACATCTGTCTATAGAATACTAACAACATAGTGACAATCTATCAATGACTGAAAATACCTTTGGATGATATTTTAGTCTAAATTTTCTGAAAAAAATCCAGTACTACTCTGATCATTTACATCTTGCCTAGAGATCTGGGCAGGAACTTCTGCTTTCTACCTTGAGCAGAGCTAAGTCTATAATAGCTGTCATTTATTGAGAACCTACTATATACTCAATATGATAGCTTTATTATGTTATTTAATTCTAAAGCAATAATCCTGCAAGGTGGATATTAGTTATGTCACCTCTAGGTGAGGAACAACTTGAGATTACTAATCACACAGTAAATAGCAGTTAGGATTCAAACCTAAGTCTGACCGATTTCAAAGTTTGGGTCTTTCCACCAGTGCTAAGAGGATAAAACCTCCCTCCGCATTTCACCCTGATGTGGGAATCTTCTTACTGTGCAGACATCTGGTAGAGGGGTCCCACCTCCCTGGAGCCACAACTACCCCTGTTCATAAGAATCAGCCCCAACTCACCAGGCCCTGGGAATTGTGGGTACCTAGAATGCTGAACCAGCAGGTGGAAAAGATAGAATGAAAGTGGAGGAATCAAGGAGACCATGCTGGAAAGCGAAGGGTAGAAAGCAGTAACAATTTTGGTCAGAGATGTGTCATAATTTGGAAATGTTTTACGAGGCAAAATAAATAGAAAATCTTCCATTTCCATCTGAGCAAGCTATTTCCCTTAGTGAAGTCCAGTCTTTTCATGTTACAGATGAGAAAACTGAGGCTGAGAGAGATCTGGCCATTTGTCCAAGATCACACAGTTAATAAGTGAATTTACCCATTTGCTGCATTAAAAAGTACATCTCATTTCCTTTTATACATCATATATTCAGCATTTGTGAGTAAATTTATCAGCTTGTTAGACTGTTCTAATCTAAATTGTCGATTAAAGAAAGATCAGTGTAACAATCAGGGCTGACCTGGTTTCCACACACAAACACTGTTTTTGGCCTGAACAGATAACCTAAGGTGGTATTATGACTTCCTTCCCCAACATATTTTTAAAATGGGCTTTTAAAAAGCCTAACTACTGAGTAATAAATTTTCTTCAACCAAGTTCAATGTTTCAAGTGCATCATTTTAATGATTGACTCTATGTTAACGGCTGTACATTTTGCCCTGGTTGAAGATCCCTTGCAGCTCCAAAAGTTTGTGATTCTGAAAAATCCAGCCCTGCTTACTTTCTAGGTCAGTTAGGCCACGTCTCCTGCTGCCTGGTTATGTGGCCAGCCAACTATCTCGCTCACTGGCAGTAATTTTATATGCCAACCAGATGGCTCTCAAAGGGGGCTTTCTAATCAACTTTATCAGCTCCACCCTGCCTGGGAATACGAGAGGAGGATTATCTTGCACAGTGCTCATGAGGCAGTAGAACGAAGGGTTGGGTGAATAGACATGCCTGAGGACTTAGAACTCAAGGAAGCCTCCTCCAATTCTTAGACAGGAGCTTTCTCACTTCCATCCATTAGCATCTGTGTAAGATGTGGGAAAGGAGTAAACAATTGATGGCGGGCTGGCTGAGTGGCTCGTTGGTTAAGAGTTAGCTTGAGAGCGTGAGCTCTGAGCAGCAGGGCCGCTGGTTCGGATCCCACATGGG